GCCATGACATTATGTTTTTTTACAAGTGTATGTAAACTTTTGACCACAACTGTAGCTCGCTCACACCGAGGACCTATCCACGTCATCATTTACCCAGAATGCTTTGTGTGTAAATAAAATGGCCCCGTCCGTGTAATATTTTACCTCATTTCCCTCTGGGATCAATAAAGTATTTTTGACTTGAATATATTTTTAAACTTTTAGTTTAAAAATTATAAAATCTAAACAGCCTACAGTATTTTTACAGTCTTTATTTTACAGTTAAAATATGTTTATTAAATAAAGTCTAATGTTACATCTAATCGTAGATCCCTTTAAAGGCTATAAAACCTGTGGCTCCAGAAAACTGATACAGAGGCACAGAGTGCTTACTACAACAAATAACTTATTTTAGTATTTGAATCAAAACCCAAGCACTTTACTTTAAGAAGTACATCAAATATAAGGTCAATAAACTATTTTTAAAAAGTCAAACTTACTTTGATCCGTGGTCAAGTTCAAGTTTACAAATAGCAGCAAGCTGAGCCATTTTGTTTGGAACGTCTGAGTTAGACGAATCGCCTGAGGACAGAGGAAAACAACGTTACGTCATTCCAGTCCTCAGAACTACAGAAGTGATTTCCCCTGATGAACCGTGGTCTCTGCTTACTAAGAGCACATCTGACAGGACTGCTGGGGGCAGAGTTGATCTTGCGTCGGTCGTCCTGAATGCTCTTGGCGAGCTTTATGAGGGAGGGGTGTCGGGTGAATTTGCGTTTGCCMCCCGATGTGGAAAAGAGGTTTTTGGCACAGTTCTCTACAGAAGCACAGGCCTCGTGTCCTTTTTTCTTCTTGGAGGGGCATCTGAAGGAGAGGTTTGGCGAGTCTGAAACAAGAGCTGATGCTGTAATCAGCGCTCAAACAGAAAGGATGCATGAGGTACGAGAACATGCTGGTTATTCCTTGTRACTGTGAGGAAAGACGAGGAATGTGTTTAATACCTTGAACTGGTGGAAACTCTTCAGGGCCGATCCACTCAAAGGCCGGCTTCCTTCCTCTCTCCTCGATCACGTGGACTTTYTCGATGAGCTTCAGGCTTCGCAGAACATTAGCGATGTCGTACAGCCGCCGCACTTTAGCTGCAAACACAGAACCAGAGAAAACTTCATCACAATCGCAGAAAACAGAAAAATATATATATATAATTAACTGCTTCGTTTAAAACTACTGGATGAGAACTACTGAAGAAAAATAATCAAACGAAATATTACATTTTTAGAACACCAGTTATGATGGATAGAATAACTTCAGGTGATCCAAATATTTGTTGGAGAATATGTGGTTCACATGTGTGCACATACTTTGGTTGTGTCCAAACTTAGTGACATATCAGAACATTTTTCATATTTCAGGAAGACATTTAACCACTGTTTGTGGGGGGTTGTAGYGGCAAAGAGGTCAAAAACATGGAAGTAAACTGTGCCATTTTTTTGCCTGAAGTTATCATGGGATTTGTAGTTTAATCATGACCAGTAGCAAACTTAGCACTTCATGAAGACAGATCGTGTCAACTTCTGATTACGACTCTTAACAATCTTTATTTATGCAGCCAGTGGTTCTCAGGAATGATCAAAAGTAGAGAGGATTAAGACGACAAAATCAAATTTAAGACCTTGGATGAAAATCTGGGTGCTTTTTAAGAGTTTTTTAGGCCTAAAATTTTGGTTTTCAAATTTTAGACTTTTTAAGACCCGGCATGAACCCTGAACTTATCTAATAAACTACAAGCATCAAAATATCTGTGTGAATGCTGAATCAGCTTTCAGTAGGTTTGGAAAATCTACGTGACGGAAGATGTAACGTATTTCTTCAGACAGCAGAAAGACTTATTTCACCTACATTTAAACAGAGATCAAATGTTATCAATCTAAATGAGCGAGTATAATCTTGTTTCACTCAGTTGTAATCATGTTTTCCTTTTTGTCCTTCTTCATGACAACACTGAAACACTGAAAAATACATCACAATATCTGCAAACTTGGCAACAAAACTACAAACTATTTTACTTGTGGATGTTTTAAAGATTTTATGCTGCATTGTTTTTTTTCTTCCTTATGTTGTTTCTAAACTCACTCTTGAACTTGTTCTTGTCTTGATCTGCAACCTGGTCCTCTCCTATCAGGATCTCAGCAGCCACATCCAGACTGACCACACGTGGGTTTGACACCAGAAAGAGCATGACAAACTTCTGGCTCATCACCCGCAGAGATTTGTCTTTTCTGCTGTTAACAGAGGCTGGACGAAAAAAAAAGAAGAAAAAAAAAAGAAGAGGAGGTCAGAACAGCCAATAAAAAATCTCTTTTAATTAAAGCAAAATCTCCCATTTTTCTCCTGCTTTTCACCTGCTTTGAACTCAACTCCTGGAAGCTCCACAAAGAAGAGCTCTTTCTGACCCTGCTCCACGCTGTCCGCTCGGACCACCGTCTGGTTCTCCTTCTCCTCCCCGTCGAAGTCTCCGTCCAGGCCGCGCTGCCGGATGTGCTGCATCTGCTGGCCGTACCGGTGCTCCTCGCCCACCTGCTTCAAGATGGCCAGCGTCTCGGCCAGCTTGGCCCGGCCGTGCCAYGTGTAGCGGTTCTTGGCTGAGCGACTCACCATGTGGAGGCTCTCCAGCACGTTCATGATGTCGTAGATGCGCCGACGCTCCACGTCTGTGTGGTTATGTGAAGAGAAACTGGTTTATGGCATTGCAACAACATGGCAAAGCTCATCTGATTTAGTACAAAACACATCAGAATGGATTCAAATCAACATATAAAGACATATAGAACGCTGTCATTACCCACTGCCAGAAAGAGAAGGTAAAAAATGTTTTGTTTGKGTCAGTGTGCCCCATCTGTTAGCAAAATATCTCCTGATCCACAAGACAAATTTGATTAAAAGTTACAGAAAGTTATCGTCAGATGTACATCTACTACTGATTACCTTTTGGAGTCAATGTGATTTAAGATGGCTGCCACTGACCTTCAAATACACAAAAATGCCCATAACTCTGTCAGTTTTACAGATGTTGAGCTAAGATTTGGTAAGGTAGCAGCTGACACTGATCCCCGACAAGCTTGTGCGGTATGGTGACGGTATGTAAAATAAATAAATAAAAATAAGTACGATAAAAATATAAGATAAAAATAAATAAATGAAACAAAATAATGACTCGCTGGCTCCTGAATAGGTGGGCCGCTGTAGTGCTGACTGACAGCTTCAGGGACCACCCAGCCATTGGTTTCTTAAGTCAAACAAATAGTATGACTTCTTTCACATTTAAACTTTTAGTGATTTTTTTTCCCGGAGACCGACACCCGCAAACTCCTCACTTTAGACGTGGAAATGACGACAAACTTTGTTGGCACAAAGGCATTCCAAGCTAAACGCCTACAGCAGCTTTGATTCAACCATGGTAAGAGTCAGATTATTATGAAACGTAAAAAACCTAAAAACATGTAGTTGGACTTATTTGGACCTGTTTGATAAAATAAGGTCAACTAAAATAAATAGAAGTGTTTTACTTTTTAATTAACCAAACTAAAGTTAGCCCCCACAGCCAAACTAACTTTTAAATAAATACCAACATAAAAACAACTATAACTCAATCAGTTTTACAGATACTGAGCTAAAATTTGACATGGTTGTATTCACAACAAAGCGTGCTACTCATTGCAAAAATCCTTGCTCTATTCTAATCCTAGTCAATCTGTTTCTAAACAGAAAATGATAAAAGTTGGATTGTTAAAGCAATATGAAACAGTATAATGTGTATGTATATAAATTGTTGTTCTACAGGGATTAAATG